AGGAACGCAATTACCAGAGATTCATCGAGGAGTGTTGAATGAATGTTGATGCAATTTGGAAATGATATTGAACGAGTGTTACCATCAACATTGTTTCCACATTAACTTGGATTGTTGAAACAATGTTGAAGAAAATGACATCTTCAAATTAAATCAATGTGGTATTTCAATGTTGTTTCAACATTCAAAATGTGGACGTGAAATATTGTTTCAATATTGTTTCCACCTGGATAGTTTCCACCTAGGTAGTTACTTAGGGTGATACGGTCACACCTGCTCACATCGTGAGAAGTACACGTCATGAAGGACATACCAATGGTGTACGCATCATTTTCGACAGAAAGGGCCAAGGGCCAAGCGCCAACGCTGGCGGCATTACAGACAAATGGCAAAACTCTTCATGCTTCAGAAAGACATGTAGAAAACATAAATTTGAAAGAATCAATTTGAAGAAAACATATCAATTTGAAATGACCTTGCGAGGCTTCATCTTACGTAAGATGTAGCTCCGCCCCACTTTCACAAGACTGTGAGGAGTTAGTTGGAAGAGAAGCTACCCGGACGGTGGATTATTTGCTATTGACCGGCCTATGAGGAGCCTTCACCTATCCCTATGCGACATCTAGTGCAGGGCCGCCTAGAGGTTTCCAGGGACCCGGGGCAAAAATAAACGAGAAACCCCTTGAGGCCCCCCTTGGGACCCCTTGATACGCTGAACCCTGGTCAGATTGCCCCCTTTACCTCCTCTCTGGGCAACCCTGATCTTGTGGGGTTATTTGAAGGAGAAATTGTGCATAAATGTGCAGAAAGTGCAAAAATGCGTAGGCGAGGAGGACTGGAATTTTGTGCACTGGTAGAATGAAAATCTTACTGTTGCCATTCGCACAGAAATTCTTGGAAACTATCCTTTGTTTTAGGTACAAATTGGTCTTTGTGTGTGTATCATGAATAATATTATATGCGATCTTAATGCTTCAGTTACTTATCAGACACCCTGTATTATTCTGAGTCTGGACTTTCTTTATCTTTTGTAAGAGTCCAAGGAAAAATTTTTAAAGGCTTTTAATGAGCACACGGTAGTCCACCAGTGGCGTAGCCAGGTTTTCGTCAATGGGGGGGGGGGGGGGGGGGGGGGGGGGGGCGGCGGGGGGGGTGGGGGGGGGGGGGGGGTGGGCGGGGGGGGGGGGGGGGGGGGGGGGGGGGGCTAAGCGGAACGTTGGGAGGGCTAACTTCTCATTGTCGAGGTGGGGCGGACTTCTGATCAGAGTTTGGGGGGGCTTGAACAAAACTTGGGGAGGAAGCCCCCTCTCGCTACACCACTGTAGTCCACACGGGAATATTTTCCCATTGAGCAATTTTGCCGTGCTTTTTACTTGAGTTCGAGAATTTTTCACTCGAACTCCCGTGCATGAGACGTTCCTCATGTGCTACAGTGGAAGTCACGCGAAAAAATGACTGACAGGTGAAAAACGCTGCAATCTCAGTCTCGCGGGCCAGGCGGATGAAATTATCTGCAAGATGGCGCTGCCTATACTTGACGTAAGCGCGGCAATTCTGGCAAATGTCTCTCAATGTCGGCCTAGCCCTACCAGTACTGAAACAAATTGAGCAGTAGTCTACACAACGCCAAACCACGTAGGTCTAAGCATCGTCTGACAATAAGACATGAAAAACTCCAACCGTGATTCTGCAACGGTACTGAAGGCCTAGGCCTAACCTTGGTGGATTTATGCCCTAGTAGACTTGTGTAACGTTCGGGCAATTTCGCAATGATATTACTAAGTTTTCGGATTGAATTCGTACCACCCCTCTAGAGTGACGAACGGAGAAAACAAATGTCGTGCTGTTACATTGTTAAAATTTCATTTAATTCAAATTAAGCTTGTATGATATGCTAGACTTGGTTGGAATGAGATAGGTATAAATACTTGATAATCATTGTGATCAATGGTCATGTGATTTGCAGGAATATTTTCTAAGTTACTGAAAAAGTGAGATACTATTAATTTGATTTCAGAAGGATTGTGGAAAATGGTAGTGTTATGTTCATGGTGTTCCACATCAGAATCATATGTATTGGTAGTTCAATTTCCTCTATCCCACTGTATCATCATAGAGCTCCTGCATGCTATCATAATACATCTCAGAATATTTAAGATACACAATATGGAAATGAAATAACGTTTACATTGAGATATTATGGTAGTACATAGTACATATATTATGGTAGTACATAGGCATATTGGCTTTGCTACCTGAGCCCCAACTTCAGAGCCAAACTGGACAGTATGTACTTCATAATATCACTTGGTTTGATGATGCCAGAGTCTCCTAGAAAGGGACATTCTATTCCCATGGGTTCAAGCTTGTCCTAACAGTGGGGGAGTTCAATGCAGATATTGCAGCCAAGGAAAATCTACAAATAACAGGATTGAACTCCTATGCTCACCTACCCCTGTGGGACAGGAGTGCCCCATATCCTATAGCAGAGAGCTCAATATAACCCTGATATTGTGACAGCTGGCTTTGTCACTATGCATCTATGAGTAAGGCACCCCAAGTTGAGCCTTTATGTATTTTGTTTTGAGATAAGATTATGTTCCCTATATAATGGAAACCATAGTTTTCTATTGGCCTATCAATGCCAGCAGAACAAACTTTTCCTCCTTGGGACAGTTGGTGTTGGGTATGTCCTAATTGTATATGTATATGCAAGAGTTTATAGTGTATATGCAAGGTTGATGGTCAGGCATCTTTTTTGGAAACTCAATATTTCACTAGTGTTGAAGTCTTATTGCCCACAAGATGAGGGATTGGCATAATCTACAATCGCATCAAGATATACAAAATTATGTAGTTTACTGGGTTTTCTAAGTCAATGTCCCGAAGTGGGGGAGGAGTAGCCAACTGGCTGCTTGTATTAGTATTGGTGAATGTGTCAATAGTGGGACAGTATCTTACCGCTGGAATTAAGATGCCCCAGTCCACTATCATACTCTGCCTAAAACTAAACTTGTATATGGTCAATCTCTTACTAATATGGTGAAATAACAGGTCTTGCATCCCTTGCTTAGTCTTATTCATATAACATATTGAATGCTAGCAACATCAGTGCCCTTCAAGAGGTGTGTGATTTCACTGCATATGCAAACATCTGAGAAAATGAATGATGTTGCCGCATTGCTCAGTATGTCCATTCCCCCTCATGATGGTGATAGAGCAAGTCAGATGTACTACACCATGTTATGAATCTTAACCACTCATACTAACTTATTTTCCATGGGTGAATATGCCAAAATCTAAAAAACTGGTCTACTCTCCTATGTGCAGGATGGTCTTAGAGGTCTACTCAGAGTTAGATGTACTATGTGTATTGTCGTTGTCTAGGCCTATTTTAATGTGTGATTTCTATGATGTGGTCTTAGGAACTGCTTGGCAATGATATGCAATGCCAAACACTGGCAAAATAGTCCAGGCTAGACCTAGTGAAATGTCAATAGCACTAATAGATATGAGGAAGGAGAGGAAAGCACAAAAGGATAAAAGAACAAAAGCCAGATGGTAGGAATCAAATGCAAGCTTCTGGATTGCTGTTCAGGTGTGCTTTGTGTATGCACATAAGATTCCCAAGTTTTATTGGGTGCTGTTTTCCTAAGTGGCTTTGCTGGCTCTGTTGATGTTCCCAGTATCCTATGAAATCACATTCATGGTTGTACCAAGTACTGATAGAAAAGTGCCTTTTTTTGCCAATAGCTCTGAGTGGCTGGAGATAAAGATGTCTCCATTTTTCCAAAGGCCAAGATAGCCTAGTCTCAGAAATGTGGTTCCCATTGGAAGTCAGGACCTTTGTTATGGGAGGGAGGAGTAGCAGGTTACATTTTTCTGATAAAAATTATGAAGGAGGCCTGAACACATATGCAAGTAAAGGAAAACATCATTTTAAAAAATTATGAATTAGAACAGGGTGCATTACATTCATAGTCCTTCAGAAGTGAGTAGACTATTTAAGAATCCTAATATTTTTGAAAAAGGATATTCTTTAATTCTTTCACTCTCAAGCAGAATTGTATCCCAATAGAAAGAAGTGATATATCAGCACTTGGGGATTCAAAGGGTTAATAGCTTTTTGGACTGAGTTGAGCTGGAGAGGGTAACAGGAAGTGGGAGCTTATTCCATATTAGGGTTACTGATGAGGAAAGGGTCATTGTCCGTAGATTCTTCTAAAAGTGGTTAATTGACTTGCTGTGACTTGCCTCTTGGTGGTTTTGCCATAAATGTTGAGTGAGTTGATGTAAGAGATGCTTTGGCATATCATTATGAGGCACTATATATCCATTAAATCCTGCTCAAATGGTAGATTTATGCTGACTGTATTGTACATTAACTCTTGGAGGTTCTCCAGTATTCATTAAATTTAACCCTTTAGTGTCCAAGCCATTTTTAGGTTCTAGCAGACAAAATTGCACCCTTCCACAAAATCAGATATTAAGTCATGCACATTGTCATTCATAAACTAACTCTTTGTGACCTTGATGAGTGCTACCATCATGCAAACAAACTCAGAAATACAAAGAAAAATGAAAAACATGATGCAATAGCAAAAGTGCACCATATAGTGCATCACTGTATCACTTACCTATATACTATACTACTTGGGCATCAAAATATTAATAGTTATGTTATGCATCCGTTTTACTTTGGACTTTTGGCATTGCAGAACCTCTTTTCTCATCTGTATAACTATAAAAGCATAAGGTTTGTAGAACAATTTCTGAGATGTTACCTTCTTGAAGGAATTTATCACTTTCTGTGTAGTCGTGTTCATACAATGCTGCCTGTTATAAGTTTGAACCACATGCTGTTGATTCTGATATTGCCAGTTGATTTTCAGCCCAAATTGACCTCCAGCCACCTTTTGCTCTCAGTCCTCCTTTTAAAATAGGTGTATATCTTTGGAAAGAAAATGAATCGTGGTTTTTGTGTTATTGTCTTCCTGGTTTTGCAGGCCTAGACTCTAGGTATCTGATATTGAAAGCAAGCTTTGAACCTGCCCAAAAGATCTTATTCACCTGGAGATGAGATTTTACAAGAGAGGTGTTCGGCGCTCCCTCCTGCCTGTCAACGGTCTTGCATCCAAAGATTCATCTGTGGCAGAGTCACCAGATCATGAGGATGTGAGTTAGATGCCCTCACCCATCAGAAACCATTAGTTTCTATATTAGGCCTGAAGCTCATTTATTTGGTTAGGCACATTAGCCACACTCCACATCTTAGCAAAAACTTCTTTTAAGTAACTTTCATCTCAAAGCTGTCTTTAAGTTTTTACACAGATTGGCACTGTTTTTTTCCTTGCTTCCTCTCCAATTTGCCATATAGATTCATCCTGTCTATTAACCACTTCAGTCTCAATCATGTGATGTGCATGAAAACCCTTTTACTTTGAAACTTGAATTATGTCTTTTCCATGAATTTCATTTCCATTTTGCTTTAACCTTCAATTAGAATGTAGGAAAAATGGAAATATTGAATGCAATATTCAAGAGTATTTGTAATCACCAGATATATGTGTGGGACAATAAAAGATCACAAACATTCATGAGACTAAGGATGCTAGGCTGAAAAGGTTAATTTTTGGCTGAGAAAGCCATTGTGCTCTTTCCTGAAGCTTGTGCAGTTTTGAAGGAACCCTTATTTCTATTTCAAGAAGGTATAACTTCAGAGAAAAATAGAATGTTTATGAATAATAGTTGTCTCAACACATTAGAGGCCCTGGTCAAACTGTATCTTCATTTATTTGGAATCTTATGTACTTGTTATGCGAAGAAATTTTTAACGTTACCTTTGATGCTGGCTTAACTTAGAGTACTCTGAAAATCACTAATTTGCATTGGTCTGATCACTAATGAACAATTAGTCCCAAATTTTTCAGTTAGGCTAATGCCTGGATTGGATACCAAGAAGAAGGGAACTGTTTTTGCTGAGAACAGACATATAAAGACAGAACTTCATATGAATTGAAGATTTCAAATAGTTCTTGAGCAATAGTTGGAAACCATTATCCCTACTTCCTCCATGAAGGATTCTTACCTGAAGCACCTTCTCATCTGAAAGGTCATTTCTCTGTGCTCCAATATATCTTGCATATTCCTGCTATTTAAGATCTGACTAAGTACTTCATGAATTGCTCAATTTCCAAGGCTTAACACAGGGTTCATTAAAGTTGTGACATCATTGCATAGGCACCTGTAGATCAGACTGTGAACTTTGATTGTGTGCCATCCTGATGGCAAAATAGGCTTATGATGATGAACCAATTCAGAACTTATGTATTAGTGGCACTCAATACAGGATATACATTTAATTTAAATTTTTAGTCACACTCAAGGGCCATTTCATCCCAATACTCATTTCCCTGTTTTCAATCTAGTTTGATATATGAAAACTATATTAATGGAAACACTAGATATTTAAAAAATATGAACTGTCTCATGATTTTTCCTTAAAATATTTTAGAAGAAAATGTTGAGTCATTCTCAAAATCGTACAATAGCAGATACTGGCTGCTGAGAAGTATTGAATCTTATGCTGACTTTAACCAATTTTTTGCAAACCAGTCCCACTGTGGGCATTGATGTAAATCCATGACTATATAGGATTTACTGGTGAGGAATGTTGTCCCTGGTAAAGAGGTGAAAAGGAATGTACCCACAACACATTCATTGATCCACACATTTTTTGTTTTTCATTTAGATTTTCATCCATAATTTGGCCATACTTAAAAAGGAGACTTTTAAAGAGAGGTTCATATCATTAGAGTGGCTACATCTACCCATTTTATTATTTACAGTTAACAATGAGAGTCATGACTGTGGTTCCATACCTGAAATTAGTTTAGTTTAAAAAACTCACAGCTTCTTATATGTCCTTATATAAAAGTAACATCTCTTCTGGATTAGGGGTGAGAGGGGTGAGGTTTTGGAATAAGGAATGTCGAAGTGAAGAAAGGAATGGAATAAGGAGTCATCTGAATGACTCTTGTACTTTTCTATGAACTCCCCCTGCAATCAAACACACTTTCTCTGACATTGCACCCATGCATCAAATGCATTTTGCAGGCCTTTTCATGACATTCTACACAGTTCCATCATCAAAGCATCTTTGACATCATTGTCTGATATAAAGTGAATATTCTGAGAAATTCTGACTCTGTGCATGAATTATATGAACAGCCCTCTCATAAACTTGTCTGATCCCTGCAGTCAATAAGGCAGTTTCTGAAAGAAAATAGACAGTGGATGTGTGTTCTGAATGTGATTCTCCACTTCTCTTCCAGCATGATGATGAAGCTGAGAGGCGGGAGAGAATCAGAGTGCGGTTGTCAAATACTTCATTCTCAGCTGATAAGCGGAAGTCCGTGGGAGGGATTGGTGGGATGTCAAATGAGCAGATAGCCCATCACTATTCTGATTGCATCCGACTCAGTGCAGAAAATGTGAGTCTTTCATCTTTGCTTTTGCTGATAAAAATGTAATTGTGATCATGAACTCCAATCAGTCTTCTTTTTCTGTTTATTCCTTGAATGTTGCAGAAAATAATCTTGCTCAACATTTTCTTAGTACTTCATAGTTTTTTTTTACTGCTTCCTTCAAAATTTTCAGCTTTTTTGCAGCATATTTTTTCTTGGGTAAAAAAAATTAAGGAGTGTTCAGTCTGAATTGGTAAGAGACAACGTTTGCCCATTCACCCATTCCATGACAAGTTTTTCAGGTCAGAGGTAATAGCATAAAATAGACAAATGTAGAAATCCTTCCAAGACTGGTCTCTCTGAAGCAATGAAATCATATAGCAGCCTCTTTTCCCAGCTGAAATTAGACATCTTGAGAGGTTTTTCCCAAGAGTTCTCATTAACATGTTTTCATTAGTTTTTGAAATGAATTCATTTGCTTTTTTATTTCCAATTTCAAATCTGAAAATTATAGGACAATAAGTATTATTGGTTTTGGTGCCTCTCAGAAGTCACTATTGTTCCAAAGGGTTCTGTGATTCTAGTTACTTTCTTTCCATGCTCCTTCTTCCAGAAAATAACAAGCAAGAATGCTTTCAGTCTGAAGCTGATTGACATGCTTTCTCAAATGATGCAAGATAAGCAGACAAACAACTTCCAGGTGAGTGAAGGATTCTGAGTTACAGTGGGGATATAATGTTATGAAAGCTTCCACTATAATTTATTAAGAAGGATTGAATGACCTAGGATGTTGCCTTGATATTTCTATAATATCATTCCAGAAGATCTAAATAATTGATGACTACTTTGACAAATATTCATGATAATTTAACTTTTCCTTCTTTTTTTTCAATTTATAACATTCATCTGTGGTACTGAATGTTGAATGAAAACTTGCCTGTAACTAGAATATTTCAATTTAAAAAAAAATTCAATGTGGTTTCATGTCTTCCTCATGCCTGAGAGTTAAGAACATGCTAAGTACTACTACAGGTGTTTTGACATTGTTCTTACCGAATTGATAAGCCATAGCCTTCAAGAAAGTTTTAAGTTCACAATGCAAAGTTTACTGAAAGGTTATTCCTTCCTGTTACTCTGAAAGTTTCTTGGAAGTAGTAGAAATGAGTTAAAGCTATTCATCAAATGCACTTTTTGTGCAAATTTTTTCCTTTTTTGATTACCTTTAATGACATTGAAACATTTCAATTGGAATCAGGAAGTATCATTTTGTGAGAAGTGATTTTTCCCTTTGTTGAACTGATTCATCTAGAAAATGATAGCATAAAGGTGATGAATCACAGTTATGCTATAATTTTCTAGAAAGGCAAAAGAGACCTGACACCTAGATGAAACATCTAAGGTTTTTTTTTTTAGAATGTTGCCCCTTCATATCCATTGGTGTTCAACTGGGTATTGCCTATTTGAATCATAGGAAGGTGTTTTTTGGTAATGAACCCCAATCTGGATGCTCTCTGGCAAAGTCAACAAAACTGTTAAAATTGGTCTCCTGCTGATGCAAATACTCCATGGGGTTCTTCTTTCATAAGGAAATAGCAATTGGAAGTGTTAATTTTTTATTAATTTGCTACTGTCAGAGAGTGCTCAGACAGTGGCTTGTCTTTAGTCATTTTTCCCTGCAATAGAAAATTAGTGCCATACCTTCCCGAAAAAATATTTAAGTGATGGAGGCTAGGAACTGAGAGGGCATTTGCCCAAACAGATCCTAAGCCCCAAGGATGTCTGTCCCTTCTTGGTTCCTGTTTCACACATTCCCTATTACCCTGTCTCATTCCCCTTCTTGCTAATACATAAATTTGATCATTGGAGGGACATATGTAGCTCCACCATGAATGAAGCTCAAGATTCTGGGTGATTTTCTCCTCAGCTGGGGATACCCCACTGCTCAGTTTTGTTTTTTTATTTATGCCATATTTGAGTACCATTGCACATGAAGGGACTTCATACTAAAACCCCTATATTTCTCATTTAGGCTAGCATTAGCTGAGAAGGGTCTCTTCCAGCTGAAGAAAATGATGCATGAAGGTGATGATTCATCAGGTCTGCCTTGGGAAGAATCACTGCTCTTCCTACTTGCACTACTCATAGTACTCAAGTTTAAGCATCAATGAATGATAAAGCTTTCTTAGGCAACCTAGAAGTATTCTATTCAGCTAATGAGATAACCCTCTCTGGATCTTCTTAACCGCTTTATAATCAAATTTTCAGTTGTAGTTAATGTTTGAAAGTTTTGACTAAATATGCATTGAGTGAGGGACCACCAATTTCTGTTCAGAAAGCCAGGAAGCACATGGAGGTTTTTCTTGCACTGTAGCCACGACCTGATTGGCTAATGCAAGAGATCATTGTACTCTCAATTTCTCTCTCTCTTGTCCTCTGCTTCATGTGCCAAAAATACAGATGAAGGAACTTCTAATGTTTAACTCCTATCTACTGTGAACCCAATCAATTCATTCAACATAGTTTTATGTTGTACATTTGTGAAACCCCTTCCAAAATTTATGTATATTCAAATGGAAAAAAATTACATTTCTTTGGATCTAGCAATATTGGTTTTCAGACTTTCTCTCAGCAGAATATTAGAGTATCACATCTTTTTTTTTTTGTCGTCCTTGTGCAGTGTGCTAATCTTTTCTGTATTGTTCCAATTTGAGTATATGTATTGCCGAAGCAATACTAGAGTATCACATCTTGGCAAAATCTGATATTGTTGTAGTCCTAATTAGGGATGGGGCAGTCAATTGACCCCCTTTTAATTGAACATTATTGACCACTAATTTTTTTAATTCAGTGAATTAAGATATTTTTAAAGAACTCATAACTGTGGTCATTTATCCCCCCAGCACTAAAGCCAAAGAGCCAGTTCAATTTTTAAGATTTGTTCATGCATCCTGCCAAACACCTAGACTGGCACCTGTTGTGTAGGAAAACATTTTAGCAAATGCTCAAACTACCATGACCTTTCACCTGAGTGATGCAGAGCGTGTGTGTAGGCATAGCTTGCTGTTCAAAGTTTTATAGCCTCAAGGACTTTCAAAGTTAAGGTTCAAGATCTAACAGCTTTAGAACTTTAGTTTCGTGCAAGGTCAATCATGGTCCTGGCTAATAGTCTGCATCAGAGCATCAAATTATTCTCAAAGTCATGGGACAAGTACTTGGGTTATGCCCATGCCTATGCCTAAAAAAAATTAATCTAGCTATGAAACATGATTCATTACTGTTTACCCTATAGATTGCATGAGTTGGAACATTAAATGTATCTTAGCAATGAGATGTTTACTGGTCAACATGGTCATTTATGATCATATAGTCATAAGGCCTAACCTCTTGTTGGGCTCATAACCATTATTTTCTGCAAATGGTCTAAAATGACCATGTTGACCAGTTAACTTCCCATCCCTAGTCTATCACTTGTAAGTCATGACATATATAATGGTGCAAAAACTACAAAGAAAAAAATAAATAAATAAATAAAAGTTGGTCCTATTTACCAAAGTTGACCATAGTTGACCATATTTACTGGTCAATTGACATGTTTTTAATTGACTGGTCAATAACCCATTACTAGTCCTAATCCAATCTACTGAAAACCTAGCTTTAAATTTAAAAAATGCTTGACTTACATAGACATTAATCCTAGATTCACTCTGTTTGAAAAAGTTGGCCAGCTGCACCTTGGATGCAAGTACAAAAATTTATGCATGTCGAGTGGATGTTGTCCATGCTGACACCATCAAGATGGCATCTGGCTTGGGGAGAATCACCAAGAAAAAATCTAAAGGAGATGAAGAAGATGGAGATGAAGGTGGAGAAGATGGTGAGGAGTCTGAGAAGCCCAAACAGAAGAAACGAGGAATAAGAAAGGTTTGTTGACATGTGAGTCTGATTTGAGACTCACTCAGTTTTGAAGAATATTTCTTCACTTTGTGATTACTGACTGGTGGTATATTTCTTATATATTTATCAAATCTCAACTTACTTCTATTACTTTTTGAGCCATAGTGATGTGAATATTATAATTTTTTTTGATGTAGTGATTTATGTGTTAAACAGAAGAGGACCTCAAAAACTTGTCTTCCTTTGTCAGCTGGTCTTGAGATGAGTATTATCCCTTTAATGCATGACAGCAAATATGCTACATTCCAAATAAATAATTGCTCCTAATTGCCTGCAAAAACTTTTCATATTTTGCTTGCTATGAGATCCTAAATCTACTGTCTTAATTAGCCTATTCACTTACCTACATAGACTAGGCTGTCCCTATAAAAGAAAATACTGGACACAGGATGATGTAGCCTAGTAGGCCATCTCAAGTATTTTCAAACATGGGATTTGAAGGATTGAGGTAGGGACTTGAATTCTATTTTTTCAAATATATATGTTCATAGAGAATAAAAAAGGAGGTTAGGAGGGATTAACTTAGGATCTTCAATTTATTTTTGTTTCTAAAATGTATGCAAATATAAATTTTTAGGTGTTGTAGTTGTTGGAATATAACTTTTTTTAAGCTATTCTATAGCAACATTGAACTCTACACAGAATAGCTATTGCCAAAATGTAAACATCATACTTGTACCTTTCCATATGAATTGTACTTGAACCAGTCAACTGGAAGCAGCAAAACTTGCACCAAAAGTCATACAAATGATGCATCTTCAAAAAAGGACCAATGACCTTCAACCAAATCTGTTCCCTTTGGGACTGTTTGAATTTAACTTTCATCTGGAGTTGCTGGGTGTGAATGTGTTAAGAGCCAGAGTGGAAACATCCCAGCATGCATTCTCAATCTCCCACTTCCAAAAATTCTGTACATCTGCTTCAGCAGGAAAAGTTTTGATGACTATATTCTTTGACTATAATGGACCACTCCTGTTGGATTTTCTGCCCAGTTGGAAGCAATCAACTCTGGGTGATACTGCAACATGTTGTGAAATGAACTTCATGTCATCAAGGGCAAGTACCCTTTACTGTTGGCAAAGGACATCATCCTTCTCCATGACTACACCCAACCTCACACTGTGTAACCATGGCCACTATTAAAAATCTTTGTTGGGAGGTCCTTGATCATCCTCCATACAGTCCTTTCCTGTCACCAAATGATTTTCACATATTTGGCTCTAAAAAAGAGAGCATTGGTATGTGCCAGTGATACCACTCAGATAATGATATGGTGGAGACAGTGTGAATATGGTGCCACCAGATGCCTATTTCATGTTATGACAGTGCTATAGAAAATATGATTGAGTGGTGGGACAAATTTCCTAATGTCCATCGTTATTATTTTGCATAAATACTGCAACCACAGCTATCATAAATTAATCTGTTTTCATTCAATTAAGCAATTAATTTTCATTTAATTGATTAATTAGCTTTTTTTCTTTTGATCAGTACACCACCCTTTGCTGACTGTACCATATAGGATTAGCAATACTTTTCTCAAAGATTTTCGGCCACAAATTTCCTTTTCTAAAGCTGGGAATTAAAACCCTGCATATAATCACAAAAGAGAATACTGATCATTGATCCAATAAAAGAATAATTTTTTATTTTGATGCCCATTTTTATGAAATTGAAGTCAGACTCCCTGTGAAATCCATTTTATTTCTGCTGGTTTTTCTAGGTAAAGAGGAAGGGAGGAATGATCTTGAACGAAGAGGAAAACCTCAAAGAGAACAAGATTGGTTTGCTAAAGGTATATCATGATCCAGACCCAGTATATCTTAGAGACATCATCAACAGCCTCAATATCCCTCATGAGGAGAATTATCTCACTGCATATCACAACAAGGAGTAAGATAGTTTCATCCTTTTACCCATTTTTTTTTTGTTGTTTTTATGACTGACCTTCCTTCTTGGTCACACCAGAACATACTTTAAGACTATGTATGAATCCTCCCTTCAATTTCCATTCAAAGACCTGAGAGTGGCAGTTCCTCTCAATATTTGACCTTGAAATTTGATTATTTGAAGCAAGCTTGATCAAAGTATGAAATGCCATGGATCACATGCTGATTCTATGCAGGCTAGGAAAACCGTTGCAAACTTGTGAACAAGATTCACAGGAACAGAGATCCCACAAAATATAGTGAAAATGGATAAAAAAGAATAGAATTAATACTCATGCAGAAGGTGAGGCAAAGAAATGTAGAAAGACAGGATACAGGTGTGATGAAGGCAGTGTTGAGAGGCACGACTGAATGTCCTGGGTTCGGTGGTGTAATGGTAGCACACCTGACCGGCCCGGGTTCAATTCCCGGCCATCCCCGGCTTTCTTTCATCCTCTCTCGTCCATCCAACCTCCCTACCTTCAGTTATTCATGTGACACAGGTAATAAATGGGCTTTTCAAATCAGAACAAGGAAGATAAATATTTTCAGATCCCTTTCATCATGGGGAGACAGCCATTTAACCCTTGGATTTCTTGAATATGATTAAAGCATGCTGTCCTATCCACTGCAGGCTACTGAGAATAGAAATTCAATACAAATCCCACAGCCTGATTTTGCATTTTTGAGCCTTGATTTAGAGATTTCGAAACATCAAATTTTCAGCTGTCATCTTGAATATGCTTTGTGAAACATGATCATATGTCTATGTTGTACTAGCACATGGAATACTCGTATTGTGCTTCATTGCATGAGATGATGAGAATACTGAAGACTGTAATAATCTTGATGTTGTGAATGACAATAGGAAGAAAAAATATGAGAATGAAATGGGGATTGGAATGAGACTAGTCACATACCAAAGTAGGTTTTATGCAGTATATACTGTAATATCTCTCATGCTGAAAGGGGACAGAAGTATAAAAGCAATGGAAGCACAGGGACACACAACCAATCAGTATATTAAAAAAAAGAGGGGGAGTAAATCCAATGTTTTGGAAGCATAACACCTCCTTCCTCAGGGAGTGAAAAATCTAGTTGAAAAATAAAAGAAAAGAAAACATGCCCAGAATACAGGTAAATAAAATGTACTAAAAACTAGAAATAAAGGGAGGGGGGGAAAGAAATATCAACTAGGAGTGAAGGTGTGTGAGATAAGAATTATAAGGGTTAGTGATTAACACGTTGGCGACAATGCGTCCTGATGCCAGGATGCAGATTTTTTTTCAATGCAGATTTTTTTTTCTTTTTTTTTCAACAGTTCCCTCTGGAACTGTTGAGAACGTTCCAGAAGATTATGATTTCGTAATTACTGATAAAAATTCCAAAAAATTCAACATTTTAAAAAAACTCGGCAAAAAAAATGTTTTCTGGGACCATGCGTCCTGATGGCAGGACGCATTTTTTGACAAAAAAAAATGCATGTGGTCCCACGTGGCGGACAAGCAAAAATAGGCTGGTCGTCAACGTGTTAAAATTAGAAAAAAACTAGTAAAGGTAAGGAGTTACAAAAAGGAAGTGAAGAGGGTGGAACACAAACTGGGATTGTTTCACGACAGAAGCAAAAGGAAGAATGAGTCAGAAACAGAAAATGGGTGGGGGGACAAGGATTAGGAAAGGAAAAAGAGGTCAAAGGGAGTTCATGACTGGTTTTAGCATTCTTATCCAGAATGTTTCATGTTGTCTTCTATATGACAGTTCAGCTAGTTTGACCCAAATTGGACTATTTCTTGAAATATGTAGAAGCTGGCCTTTCCCCATCCTTTCATCGTAAAAGTCATCCCAACCTATCCCCAGCAGAATATCAAACCTCCAGAAGGACCCAGAAATCATCATCAAGAAGGCTGACAAGGGTGAAGCAGTAGTGATTTTGGACTGTAATGATTACATTGATAAAGTCAACAAACACTTGTAAAATCTCCTCCTTTACCAACATGCAAAAAATGTAGTAGAGGCAGAGAAATGTTGAATTTCATTGGACTGTTCCCACCCAGGCTACATGATTGAAATAAAAGCTGGTACAGATTTGATGGGTAATGTGCCAGCTCTGCCAATAGATTTAGATGCAGCTTCATTTAGTTGGAGTTTTAAAAAAATCCAGTGTCTTACTGTACCAGTCCTTTCTACTATTGGAATCTGATATTGAGTGTCTGTAAGTCAGTTATGACTGTATTCCAAGACCCCATGGAGTCAATTCCAATTCATATTGGAAATGAGTTCTGCATTCTAAAGAAACACTCCCAAGAGGCAGGGAAAATAAATTCTTCCAATGATGTCTCTGTGGTTCTATGTCAAATATGCCCCAACAATTCAGGTAGAGGATCAAAGAAAATTGTCTGCAAAGGATTAAATTCAGTTGTTAGGTGAGACTGTGACTCATGCCTTTTTCTTGTTGCAGCATATTTAAACCTATTTCCTGTTTCTGTAGGCAGCTGGAACCTTAGTCACTCTCTTCTAAGAGACCTTTAAACCTAGTACTTTTTATTCATGCCTCTCTGGTAATAATGAGCCAATGTGGAATATAAGAATAAATCATTAATGAGTTGAGTGCACTAGGAGTCATCTTATGCTAAGGTCACAAAATATGGGGAAAATAGGCTGCTTTCCAGTCTTATTGATATTAACTGTCTTTTTATAGACATTCTAAAATTAATGCTACTTTTATATCAATTTGTCTGGCATTCCTCACATTCTAGGAGTGATTCCTTCAAGTGGCTCATTCAACCTGATTCAAAGCTGGAAGAATTCACAGAAGAGGAACAAAGGAAAGAGAAAAGCACTCCTATAGAAACTTTGGGTAAGCTTTAATTTCGTTTAGTACATCACCCTGCATCTTCACCTCTCCCCCCCCACTTTTTTTTTTCTTAATCTACCTTCATTTGTTGTCATTGCTATCCAGGTAGCTGCTATGTAACTATAGAGTGCACTCTTCATTCTAATGAATTGTGCACACCCTTTGTATGAAGTGTGCAGTTTCATATGAACAACTTTTTTATTGTTGAATAAAGTAACCATTTTATGTGTACATCTCAGTCACACTTACATGTGACTGGTAAGTTTCTCTGACCTTTGTATCGGAGCAAACTGCCAATTTCAGCAAATTCATTCAAACTAATTTTTCAAGAACTGGTTTTCATAGATGGCTTTTGCAACAAGTTGGTGAGAGTTAGCCAAATTAAATTCTTATTTAATTAATTTCCTTTTACATGGACAAGTGAATCATTATTATGTGCAATTCTGATGAAAATAAACTTTTCAACACAGGAGCCCTTGCATCACTCTAGAGTTACAGCCAGTGTTTCATTACTCAGAGATACATTGGTAATCCATTCTCTTCTTGAGTAAAATGTGAATAAAGAAAATTAGCATTAAAAGTTACCTCTTACCACTGATAGGAAATCTAATTGTCCCACAACTGAACCTCAAGGAACATGCCTATGTAGTAGAGTTTTGTGTAGGTACCAATGGAGTATATTCTGAAGTTTATGGATGGTTTAAGATTTTTGTGCAGGCTAACATTTCAAGAAACCTTTCCATGTTAGGGCAAAGTGGCTTGTGTGATCTCAATGACCAAAGGAGCAAGAATAGAAAAATAAAACCATGCTTGAAAAGTTTTATGGTTGGATCTGGACTAAAAAAGAGCAAGACATTGACTCTTGGAAACAGGTCACCTCATGATCATGGACTATGGAATAGTAATCGGGAGAAATCAAAGAAAGAAGCAGAGAAGCAGGTAAGTGCCAAGTGTAACCAAGAACATGTTGAAATAAAAAAAAGAGTGATGAGAGGTAAGGAAAAAGGAGATGGATTAGTTAGTTATTGGTGACTGGAACTCTACAGATGCCCACTTCAGAGGAAGATGAGAAACCATCACACAAGATAGGTATAGAATCCTCAAACCGAAAAGTTTCATCACTACTTCTACAGTAAGAACCCCAGGCACAAAATGATAGGGAAAATCCTCACATCACACTTAAAATAGTAAAATTCCATCTCTTAAGTACAAAGAAAGAAAGCCACAATACCCAAATGGAATAAGACATTTGAAGGAAAGAGGACCGCAAGTTCCCTTTCCTGCCCTTGTCACCCAATGTTAATGCAGAAAGGAAATTCCCCATGCTGGAATAATGCAAGAATTATTCTTATGCTTAACATATGAGATATGATTGACCTGTAGCAGAACCATTATCCTCCTGTCCTATATCTTGCATAATAGCTGTTGGAACAAGCAAGATTCAAAGCTGAAAACTCTACCTCTGATCTTTAAAAAATCAATTGAGTCTTAAGATGGCTGTTGAATATCACATACCAGAGTAAATCTGTTAGCAGCCCCAGTTTTTGTGGATTGGAGCATTCAGCTTTATAATGAGAAAGAAAATAGGTTCAAGCCTAATTTTTTGGAGGATTGCAACACACTATATACTTTGTATATATAGTTGAAACTGCCAGATGTTCAAACTTACAAAAAAATTCTTATTCCTTGCAGAGTGGTGGAAAGAGGAACTGGATGCATCTCCTCAGCTTCCCATCTGTAGTCATTTCAATACATTTTCCTACAATGAATGGGACCTAAATAAGTCTGGACCAGGAGAGACATTTTCAAATCACATCCAGGAGAATGACCTTGCATTTGATGCAGAAGCAGTACCATCACAGATGGATGAAAGCTTTGGTGAGCTGTTTCCTTCTTGTCCTCAACTTTCATAAGGAATCTTGCTTTCTCTTGTTTTCAATGTTAGGACTGCAAGTATCATTACGGCCAGCAACTCAAAATTATTGTATGCTCCCTTGGCTTGTCATGAGTGGTTGCAACTCACAAAAAAAAAATACCTAATGCAAATTTCTCCTCTTTGCATGATAGGGAGACCATGAGAACTTTGTTCTATTGAAGGAATAGCTAACATAACTGTCATCCTCCATCTCTTCCTGGGAGGAAATTAATCTGACTTGTGGCAGTCCAGTTTACTGTGGAAGTGGCACCAAGATAGGCAATCAGTTAGGAATGTGTTGATTATCATGAGATTTGTTGATTTATTCAAAACATGGGACCTTTATTTGTAAACTGTTATTTTCCATAAAAGTGTCTCCCAAAAATGCCACAGATCATGAGCTTCATTCTCATATTGTCAATGCTTCACATTTCTAAATGGTAAAATTTCACAGTTCTGATCTTTCATAGTGGAGGTGTTGCCACTATAATTTTACTGAGCCATTGGTAGCATATTGCAAGAGTTAAAGCTTTGCTTTATTCACTAAGTTACAGACTGAGCTCAACTTGCAGTCCTTATCATGACCAATGTTTTACTGTAGACTAGAAAGCATTTCTGCTTGCTTTAATCCTTGAACTGCTCCCCCTTTTTATTCTTTTATTTCTACAAACCCCTTTGCTGAGTAAGATGAGTTCCTTCACTCATGTAATTGAATGAATTTCTCTTGCACAAATGAAGGCACTTAAAAACTGTGAGACAGTTCCTGTTCTTGAAAATATATTTTCTGTTTGCTGTGAGGCACAGAAAACTTTCTCTATGCAGTTAACTCATGTATAAAAGTTGAAGAAAGAATCAGATATGAGATTGCCCTCTGTTCAGGAAGGTCTGGAGGATGACAATATACTGGTTGTCTCAAAAGAAAGTTTTTAATGCAAGCTTAGATTTTGGCATTATCCTGAGCCTAAAAAAAATTCCCCAACTCTAAATTGAACTCTTTTACTAAAAACTGTATGAATATCAATCAGTCCTGGCATGAGATTTAGGAGCATGAAAACTAGACTCAAATAAAAGTACTCTCTTACCACTTTTTGCTGAAGGACATGTTGGTGTGCTCCTGTGAAACCAATTATTAGCATAATAGGTGCTTTACAAGATTCTCAACTGCCAAGTTCATTCTGCACTGATTTTTTACATTTCTATATAAATTTTCTGATGAAAGTGCAAAACTCAGCCATATAGAACAGAATTGCATTTATTTAGCAGGAATATTTCAGATGATGAGCATGTTCGAGAGCACTTATAGCTGGATCCTCAACTACCAGCTAGTGGGTGGAAAGCTAACATCACTAAATCTTTGCTAGTGTCCATTTTGACTCTTAATATCTTGCTTCAACATTGATTGATTTTCATGCTGTTTTTAGCTAAAGGAAGCTTAACTTTCTTCTTCACTATTGCTTAATTTTTTTTTATAAATGACAATAATAATTAGTTCTTAAGATATAAATTTTTTTTTGAGGCCCCCCCTGAAATTGTCAAGTTTTATCCACTCCCAATCCTCATGTTTATATTGCAAAGAATCAAAATTTGAAGGGACAATGCATGATTTTTTTAAATAAAATCATCTTCCTGATTTTCAATGTTGAGATTCAATGCCACTTTTTAAGAAAATACAATATTGGCTGCTCCAAATGGATGGTGAAAATTATTTTTCCAAATACTTACCCTACCCTTTGCATTAAAAGTCCCCCAAAGAGGATTTATTGTTTAGCAACAAAAGCTTAAATTCAAATGACAAAGCATGTGCATCACCAGTGTAGGTTTAATTTGAAGCAGCATGGATTTGAAATGATACAACCTAAGTGTAAACTAGCAAAGCTAAGAAGTAATATTGCTTAACTAAAGTCATTTTTGGTTTATCTGAAGGCTTAATTTGGTCCAGTAATGGTTCAAATTAAGGCTAAAAGGGTATGTTTGATTTTAGTAAATCAGGTACTGTTGACTTGCTCTTTGGTGTTCATTTCTGTCGAACTTGAGTACTGATATTTTACTGGAATGACAACAAATTTGTAAAGTTTGTAGATGGTTTTGAAGCACATGACCCATGTGGTAGCAATAGAATTATTTGCTGTAACATCTAGGAATAGAGGAGTTCAATGCAGACCAGGAGAACTATGATGAAGATGGGGACAGGCTTGGAATGATGCCATCTTTGGTCAGCTTGGGGACAGTGAGAACTGTGGGTGCAGATGCACAAAGGCGGTTTTCTACCTCCAGCCTCCTTACTGTGAGTTGTCTTCTCTGTTTTTTTTATTATTATCTCCCAGGCCATGTCACTTTTCTCATATTGTTAGTGTCATTAACACTTTCGCTGCCAAACCATTATTTGGAGGCCATTCCCCTGAGGCCAAAGTAATCCTCCTAATTCTGGTGTGCATGACACAAGCGATTCCGTGAAAGTTGGGGATCCACTTGAGATTATGAATGCATGGGCGGCAATCGACAAGCCATAATGACGAAACTGAGCTTGTCCGCAATGACTGTCAGCAATCAAACGGTACCTATGTCGTACCGTATTTAATTTCTAACCAATCTTGGAGTGCCATTGCTCCCACATTCTTTGTATTCCTTGGACCGCAAACCTTACGACTTCAGGCTGATTCCAAAAATGAGGTGCCTTCGATGAATGGCTGCCGCTTCTACGACATAGGCGCTTGCCAATCAACTTGCGACCAACGCATTGGATAAATTTGCCAAGAATGGGTTACAGTTTGTTCTAAGCTCTTTACAAACGAAAGGAAATGTGTGTTGCAAGTCAGGTTGAACTGGAGGGTTGACTGGAACAAATTAAGCAACTTGAACATTTTTTTTATACAGATAAATTCTTCAGCAAATTGACATGATAATGTAAGGATACCTTGTTGATGAGGTTCTTCAAGAGCTGTTGAAGTACAGTATGTGCACCCTTGCCCATCTACTCTTGAGTCATGACAGATTTAATCTAATTGGTAAAATTTTCTGAGTGAACAGGGATGTGACTGCCAATGGGGAGGTACGAATCTGCATTTAATTTTTGCCTAATGGATCTGGGATGATCCTCGCAAAAAAATTAATAGAACTTTGTCAAAAATGTGTACTCATCCATAAAAGTTCATGCATCTGCATGCATTTTCAGGGATCCTCATGCAATTTGGATTCGTGCCTCGCAATGGCAATCGCATGCCCTTTCTTTGCCATCTCAAAAAATATGCTAATGTGAAACTCATGAATGGGTATCCATAAATTCATATAATTTCAAGAGCTCTAGGAAAACATTGTAGCCAACATTCCATTAAATTTTCAGACCAATGAATTACAAGGTATGGATTCTATAGAAAACTTTCATGTTGCATTCTTTTCTTGTTATCCATGCATTCCAAAAGGGATCATTCTGAAACAGAGCGTCTGCACATAGTTTGCTCAATTGAAAACATGTTCTGGACCTTTTTGATATGTCCACGTACATACTGTACTATATATAAAGACTCCAGTAATATGCCCTATGTGCAGAAATGAAGAAAAAGTAATTTCCACTTTACCCTTATACGGAGATATACTTATATTGAATACATTGTAAAAGAGAAATGAGAAGTGAAACACCGCAAATTTGATTTAAAATTGACCCCATCAGAAGGCGACAATAAAATTCGTAAGCTGAAAGGAAGAGGTCAATAGATCGTATCACGCAAAGCAGTGCAAACCACCCGTCGCAGGTAGTATGATCTGGTAGAAAGGACCTGTACGACCCGCCGGCGGCTCATATGACCCAGGAGAAGAGAGAACGTACGACCCGCTGGCAGGTCGTATGGCCTAGGAGGAGAGAGCCCATATGACCCACCGGCGGGTCATATGGCAGCGAAAGTGTTAAGTGGGGTATGCAAAAAAAAAAACTACAATGGAATTGGACAAAACATTGTAATCTGTGTGGGTGGTCAAGGTCAAAGAAGTAAGTAAAAAGGCTTAGTACTCTGCAGTATGACTGACTAGGCATGGTCAAGTGCATGATTGATCTCAACCAAGATGCAAATCACGAGAGGCTGGATGTGTTTTACAAGTCGTCTTGGGACAAGATAGTTCCATACAAGCTGCACTTTGCAACCAGTATAGATTCTTCAGAAGCCAGTTCTTGAGCAAATCTTGGAGTCCATGGAAGGAAGTCTTTGAATAGCAAGACAAAGGTCTTGATTAGAATTGTCATCATTCATGTGATAGGAGCACTTGAGTGTAATCTCTAGCAAAAAGTTTTGTGAAATACAGAAGCATGGGACTGCATTGGTGCAAAAGTTACCAATAGGGAAAAAAAAGTCTTGAAGTTAGCAAGTGTACCATTTTCATGGAGCACATCCTTCACTGTTGACTCTTCATTATGAACTGGAACAAATGATCTTTTGGCTGCATGTCAATGTCTTCCTTGCTCAACCACAGATTGACAATAGCTTTTCCAATAGCTGTTGTGCACTCTCCTTTTCCTGTCAGAGTTCTCTGAAAGCTCTCAGCCCTTCCATTCATTCATATGATTTTCTTAAGGAGGGTAACCCATGAAAATAGGGGGTTGATGACCAAAAATCATACATTTTGTTTTTTGGCTCTTTAAATACTTTGCACACCAGATGAAATTTGGGGAAGTCCCAGTACCTGTGTGCAGTGCCATCAGCTGTGAGCAGCCATTGTATAAATGCTTTTAAATTCTTAAATGCCATTTTCTGAAAATTATTTTTTATTTACTGTTTTCCCATCTTCAAATTGAAATATCTCAAAAGCAGTCTGAGATATCTGGATCAAATTTTGTGTGTATTTAGCTTATGACAATACCAATGTCTTGTATTATGCATGCTCATTTAATATCATCATTATTACAAATATGTTATATTTGTTTACAAAAAGTGAGATTTTTTTAAATATTACTACAGATACTTAGTGCTCTGACAATAACACAAATACTGCTATTGAAATGTGAATATTAATAAATATTCCTGGTTTCATCCCTTTCAGTTCAAGTGATCACAGACCCTCCTGTGTGAATTGAAGGCTAGTTTAATCCATTTTGTTAGGTGTATGCATTTCTTCCCTTTTTTTTTTTTAGGTTAAAGGGGTAATAAAGTGATTGGAACTTGGAAACACCACTGGACTTGCCTTGTAAGGACCAAATTCAAGCATCTAAACAAAGAATCTGGCCAAAATAAGAAAATATGAAAAAATCTATTTTCATGGGTTAAGGCAAAAATGCCAAATATTACTTGTATGGCAATGGGACACCTTGGGGTGGTGGACTTACAGTCTCGGGGTACATACCAATGTAACAACAGTTTGGAATGCAGAATCAAATAAAAATCAGGTTCATGCAAGTCCGGCAGCATACTCTTCTGAATCCATTATGACATTAAATTTCCTTTCCATTATGCATGCATTATACTTTCAAAGAAGGCTTATTGTCTGACTGAGCTCTGCCTTTTCTCTCTTCTTTAGAACACATGCAACTGATATAAGCACCATTTCTATGGAATAACACCTTTCTGCTGAAAGTTTGATTTGGTAATCCTCTGTTTGATTATGGTCAATTTTCATGCATCTTGATGACTATCATGTCAGAAAAATGAATCCTCTTCATTTAGATGAATCAAGATCTCATTGTGCATGGAGAACCAAGGCATTTAAGCTGGGAAGCTGTCCTTATAAAGTTACATTCTTTCATGTGAATTAAGGAAGTCAATGCCATAGTAAGATGTAGTAAGATGTTTAAAAAAAAACATTGGTTTCTCACTTCATCCAGCATTCATGATGATCTGTTTCAGCATGTGAGCACAAAGACCCTTGAGTATAGCTTCTTTGCTAACACAGTCAATCTGCGGGCCTGGGCTGGACCAGGGCACTGGAAGATGAAGTCTAATAAAGGTCAGTTGATAGGCTTCTGTTGGATGATTGCTACTTTCATTCTGTTTGTTGCTTGTTGATTTGATTTGGCTATGGTGCAGCCCCATCAATCACATCTGCTGCTGATCCTGGGGAAGTGAAAAAGCGGAAGAAGAGTGGAGTAAAAAAGAAATTATCTTGTGGGTTATTGGAGCTGACCTATGAAGATGATTTTTATGCAAAGGTGAATCCATCCAAGCATGGTAGCTCAAAGATCATTCTGAAAAAAGGGAATGCACACTCTCTCACACTCCCAAAGGATTATCATATTGACCCATCAAAGCAATTCATGTGAGGCTTCTTTCATTCCAAACTGCAAATGTCTATGTGAAAATTATTGTTTTAGTATCAATTGATTATCATTAGTATGGAACTAGATCTATTATATTTGTCTTACAGGGATATGGTAAGGAATCCACTGGATAAGATTCCTTGGAGGTGGAGGAATACAAGTGGAGATCAACCAGAGACCCTGTCAGATGAGGAAGGTGCTCTCAACTATAATTACAGCAATCCAAATGATGAAGAATTTTGCACATCCATACATGTGAGAATAGATGTTGCTCTTCTTCTCCTTCCTTGTAGGGATTCTCATGTGCTGACATTCCATAGCAAACTGGCCTTTCTATTCATGTGGAAGGAATCAGGGAGCAGTTTCCAACCACAATGTCTCTGACGAGGAAGTTTCAATTTCATTTACTGCAAATGTACAATAATAATTAAACCTTCCCAGGTGTTCTCATGAAATGGACAGGAACAACTTCAAATTTGGGGCAAGCAGCTATAATATGAGATTTACTGCTAACCATCAATCAGGAGTTGTGATTCATGCAGTTTCCAGCCACTATCATTAAATGCAAGTTGTCACTGTATCATGTCCCTGAGAAGAAATATGAAGTTGATGGATTCTGCCTGAAAAACAGGCGATTCATTAACAGCTAGGAAATCCAAACCCAATTAATCTTTTTGTAGATGGATTGGATCAGAAAATTTGGTTCTCTCCAGATGCATCATGAATCTCAAGAGAAAAAAAAGCTACTCAACACATGTTACCTGACTCAATCAAAGGTTATTTGCTAGGTTTGACAAAACTAACAAATCCATTGATAATGAGATGAACTTGAAATTGGTGCCATTTTGCATATCTTTTAATGGTGAACTCAACTATACTTGGAACATCATTCAGAAGTGAATTTTTTAGAAGATAAGGAGGTTTTTATGAGTGATTCCCCACCAGTCTCCTCTGTCACTTCTTGGTGGGAGATAAAAGAGATTTTGTGCTGATGGCCCTTTCTGTCATGTGATTGGTTGCTCATGGAAATGGAATACATTAATTGGATAAGAGATTGCCAATATTCAATAGTTCCACCAATGATAGTTTATTTTTTATGAAGTTTAGCCAATCATATAGTAGAATATACGGGTTTTGAGCAATGATCATCACTCATATCATGTCAGTTTTGTGACATCACAATACAGTGAGTGGGTCCAACCTCACAAAAATGACTGCAGATTTGAGCATTTCAGATGACATCCTATCCACCCCCCATCTCAGTTTTTCACTAAAGCTTTTGGTGGATTCTTTCACCTAACAAAAATGGTCATTTTTCTTGGATATAATCAGATAACACTTGTTAAATTCTGTATAATGACAAAAGGAATATTATGTAAACTAAAATTTCCATATAATTTTAAAGAACAAAGAAAAATACCAGTAAATTCTCTAAGCACTTCACAATTTGCAGTCTTCAAAATATGGCATCCATTGATGGTCCAAATAGTGTTTGGTATCAGCTACTTCAGCTTTATGCAGTAGCTGATTGATTGTTAAAAACAATTTTTGTAGTCTTGCTGGGCTATGCTCAGTTCAGCAACGAATATCTTTTAGAGAACTTCATTATTCTGTCTGCATAAATGATGCAGACAGAGTAATGAAGGTTACTAAGAGTAAAAGGAGTTGCAGGAGGCAAGAAAATCAGGGAATTCCTGGAAGAAATGGTAGGGTAAAGCAGCAAACTCAAACGCCTGAAATTTAAACTGAATGTACATACCTTAAGGTTGAAGCAACCAAGCAAATATGCATTTGACTCAACCTTAGGGTAAGTGTATTCAACACAACCTTCAGGTGTTCGAGATTTGCTACTTTGCCCTATTCCCACATCAAGAGGTGGTTGCCTGGGATGAAGTACAATCATTCATTCAATAGCCCTCCCCCTTTTGAGAGTTCATGCTTTTGGACTTAATTTAGCAAGAAATGTCATACTGGATGAAATTTTGCCAAAGCCAAATAAATGTCAAGTTTGTCACATTCATACATACTGACCTTGACAAGTACACTATTGGAACACTCACCTGAGGAGCCTCACTTTTTTTTTTTTTATAAGAGAAGAGGTTTAAAAAAGTTATCTGTTATATTTCTGGGATGAAGTTAACTAACAGTAATATTTGTAATATTCAGGATTAACTGATGCTACGTGTTCAGGCGTGTATATTGTTGGGAGTATGTAGTCTGTGATAGTAATGGAACTAGTTAAATATTTTTATGAAAGTAAAAGGCCATTGACCAGCAGCATCCAGCTGGTTTCAAAAGTGATGGAAGTTTAAGGCATTTAGAGTGTGCTTGTTCTTGTACCTCTCCAGTTTCTTGCACAAGAAACCATTAAATGCATGTTGAAAATACAGTGAAAGCCCAATATAACACGGCTCATTATACTGCAGGTCAAGTCATGTCCCCTAAAAAAAAAACAGTTAAACTTCATGTTATTTCATATTGCTTTGTTTTACATTATTGAGGAGTGAGGTATAGGTCAAGGCATTCTATTTTAAGGCATAACCTTGCAAGGGCATCCCCCGTGGTTTGTTGGAGCAGGTATGCAGAAGGAAGGGTGCAGTCACTTGGAGTGAGGGGTTTTCCCCAACCTGTCATGCAATATTGCCATTTTTCATTGCCCCATCTGTGCTCTGTCTTCAACAGTGTAAGCTTAATACCATAATGCATGTTGTACTGAGCAATGGGCAACACAGCGACTAATACACAGGAAACGCCCTCACCAAGAGTGCATTTTCCATTATAACACAGGTGTTATTCATGTCCCCCAATGCCCACATTATATTAGGCTTTCACTATAAATATAACTTTATATCTTCCTGAACTCTTATGTTTTTCTGTTGAATGTCTCATATGGTGATAGTGAAGCTTGAAGAATTTCTCATTGCCACCACTGCTTGTTAGTCATTAGCTGAATCCATTTTTGTACAGGTCCATTGTAAGACATAGAACATTGCTGCATATTTTTGCTTTTCAGGAGGAAGGTGGAGGAGAGGGTGGTGAAATTGATGAAGGAATGGAAGATGATGGTCTTCCTTCCAGTCAGGAAGAATTTGCCGGAGAAAATCTCCTTCCTGTCCCTTATAGAGTAAGCAAAAATGCTTCTCTAACCTTTATAAAAAATTGCATGGTTCATCTCTTTGTTCCCACATGGTTAAAATTAGTGATTGTCACAGGCTTATTTCCTACTCAGCTCCTTTTTTTAATATTTCCAATTTTTTATTAGTAGAGCATCTTGTTAATATGACAAGATAATGAATTCTTCTGCCAGACCACTTATCTCTCTGTACAAAAGAAAAAAATGTGTGCGCACACACACACACACACATCACACACACAACCACTGCCATCTGGCAGTAACTTGTATCCCCAATCAACTTTAAGGCTTGAGCCCCATGGTGGCCCATGGTATGCATGGTGTACCAAAATAGAATAGACAAATGTGTTACACTTTGTACACTATTTAGAATTACAGGTTTCAGCACTTTCCCAGGCATCCTGAAGAGTATATGTACATATATGTCACATTAAGTATGATTCTTAAGTTTGTTACTACAATACTTTTTTTTTCAGGGAGAGAAACCTTTGCTATTACACCATTGAAATGAGCACCTTTTTTCCTACAGAGGTCCTAAACTGATTTATGATTCTGAAGGATGTGTTGCTACCATATGTTGCAGAATCGGAAGCTGTGAAGTAAAATAAAGACATGTATGCTGGAGAAAGTATCACATTCTTTTCACATTGCCCTCACTCCCCTTCTACCTATCTACTCTTTCATTACTGTCTATAAACAGTGGTAACTTGATACAACAAGATGAATAGATACAATTTTGACCTTCAAGACTAAATGCTCTGTAAAAGCAATACCATTTATTTGAATCCTTCGCAATTCTTTTATGGTTTATTTATTTATTTATAAGTACCTCTATTATTCCCACTTTTAGCCAATGTTTCTATTCCTGGCTGTTTTTTCACTTGTAGCAGGATGCAATGTTCAGGGCATGACAAAGAAGGACCAATGACTTTTTCTCACATGATTCTGTTTCCTGAATTTTTTTGGTTATGAAACTGACCCTGTATGGTCATATGGTGCACAGTTTAATTATTGCAGTTATAGCTTCAGTGAGAGCAGAGATGCATTGGTTAAAATATGTTTTTAAGAAATTCATTCTGTAATCCTTCATATGTAGAAACTGGTTAATGGTAAATTCCTGTAACATTGTTTTATAGGAGACTTCCATGTTGTATTACTTGTGTAGATATTTTTATGCTCAATTGGAAAATTAAGGAATGTATTTTTAAAATGTGTACAAAAACAATATCAAGTCACCCAAGTTTTAGTTTTAGTTTTAGTTTTCAATATTTAGAAAAATACGTGAAAAGATTCACTCCAAGCAGTAGTGATTCAAAACAGACATAATGGTTTTTGAGAGAATCCTCTATATTGAGCAGTACCTCCATTGTCTATTCTCTGTCCCATGAACCAGCAAAAATGGTTTCTACCCTTGTTATTCCTGTCATCATAATTCCAGCCTCATTTAGCTGTCGACTTAGTTCCATGTCAATGCTCTTTTTGTCAATGTCATACTGTGACACCCATTGTTTCCACCCTGATGTATTCTGGAAAAGTGACTGGTGTGCTGGTACCTGTCCATCTCCCCTTGCTTCTGGAACTTATCCATTTAATATAGGCAACTGACATTTACACCTCCATTTCAGATTTTAACTCTACATATTACCTTAAAATACATTGTGCAGGATGATGATTATTCCCCTTTATTCAGGTGGAAAATATTGAGTTGACTGTTCCTAAGCGAGACAAGAGGATGAATATGAGGAAGCTGAAAGCTGCAACTTGGGCAATACTTACAGATGCAGAGCATGTGGACAAGGTAACATTTAACCATTTGCTACTTCGCAAGGAACAGTTTGAGGCAGAAGAAAAAGACCAAATAAAATCTTTACAGTCAATGTCTTTGCATTTCTCTGCTTCTCTCATGATAGTGGGTTAACGTGTTATGTTTTTTTCAGCCTACTATAGCCATGGGGATGGAATGGGCAGATCACCTCCCAAACTCAATGACCAGGAAGATGTCTTTTCCAAACCTGTACAAGGAGCTACTTGATAAGCTCCCATCAAAAATGTCCAGTAACTTATCTGTGGCCCTGTCCTTTGTATGTCTCTTGCACTTGGCCAATGAGAAGATCCTTTCCTTGAGTAACACTGACAGTGGTGAAGTCATCATTCAACAAGGAACTGTGTGCACCTTTCCTACATTGGCTCAAGAAATCATGCGTTTTTCTTGATATCAGTTCTGGTTTGAAAGCCTGGTTTGAATATGTTTTGTCTTCTCTCAGACACCTGCTTTTCTCTCATGCTTGTCATTTTATGATAAAGTAGTATCTGTCCAATTTTTATCTCCTTTCTTTCATCGTGCATTGGAACATAATTTTCATTTTCCATTAACAAAGTACAATCTGTGTCAAAGAGCTTCCTTTCGGGAGATTATTGCTCTGTTTATATGTTTAGAATCCTCCAGAAGAAAATCTGCGAAGTTTTCTATTTGTAGACCTCTGTTCATCTGCCTGCTGATGGCTGAGTAGCCATTTTTGGACTTTGAACTAGATCTTCCTGATACCATTGCGGGAAGGAATCATCATTTGAGTGGAGAATGCCTCATTCATTGAATTTTTTATTTGTTTCTACAGATTGCGAACGATAATACAAGGTTTATTGTCTGGAATCTAAACTTGATTGAAGGTTTTAAACGGTATTTTACAAATTGCGCTCACTTTCTAGTTTCCCTGATGCTGAAATAGATTATAGCGAATCCTCTATCATGCCCTTGATCATATCATTATCCCCACGGGCCCATTTGCGCACACCTCTCACGGTTGGCTTTGTGAGAAGGGAATAGGGTAACCCTGGTTTCTGACCGGTCTTCAGTTGTTGGCCAGTGAGGCTTAAATCCAGCATAATTAGTTAATCTTCCCGTTTTCAAACATTCTATCAACATCTTCCTGTACGAAGACCTATTAATAGTGTTTCCCGGTGTGCGCACAGGCTGTCCACTTCCTGTGGGAGTCGTATCAGTTTGGCCAAAAACTGGGATGTTTACCCTACCAGTTGTGTAATCCGATCCTCCTGCTTGCGTGGAAATGAGCTTCGCGAAAGCGAATAGATGGACAACGACGAGTTTCGATCGTTTAGCCAAGCAAAGTCGAACTTTACAGCGCGTTTTCTGAAAAGGCAACGACTCCGGGGAAATTTCGGAAATGCAGGCATCTCACTATGGAAAGATGGATGATTTCCTAAGCCCTGATGTAACGATTTGGATGTTTCATTTCTATAGCTAGGAACTTGTGCAGAAGAGGACCGAACAGCATATTGATATTTCCTTCCAGGCACAATCAGATTGAATAGCCTTATAGCTAAGTGATTTTGGATGTCACTCCCATGTCCTCGCAATTTCGTGTGTGCGTAAATGGACAAACTGGGATTGCATCAAATGTACCTATTTAGGGTGCGTATCTCACCAAGATAAAAATCTTGATGTGCGCAATTGAGCACTGCCCGTTTTAAAGAGCGTGAGTTACGTCAATTACTACCAGTCTACTATTGAGTGTACTAATGTGCCCAAAGATGACATTGGCAAGGCAAGCCATCACTACGTGTTCGGCTTCAAACATAGCTAATACATTTATACAGCAGAGCAAAAAATCCCTGTTTCATTCTCATAAGGCAGGGGTAGTAAAACTTTGGCCCTCTAGCTAAGGAATGGATTCCATCTGACCCGCAAGATGTAAACATTCTGCATTTAAAAAAAAGGGAAATGCATATAATTTAGTTTTATCAAGTCTCTAGTCTGATCAATTCTTAATTTGTTATTATCGTCTAGATAATGGCCGTTTCAAAGGCCACTCGTCTAGACGTCAAAATGCTGTTTTGTGAATTCAAAAGCTTGAGCTTTAAGGGAATGACCCGTTTTGAACCGAGGCTTCTCTCCGATAACATGGGCTGTTGAAAGTGCCCGCTGCACTTAAAGTTGAGCCATGATACATTTCAGGCAATAAAATAATGTTAAATTTGAACCTTGGACATAAAGGGTGATGGCCTCTGTTTTCTGTGGGAAGTTCATGAATTAGCGTCTCATCTCCAGATACATTAGTCCGATACGAAATCCGTTCGGGAAAGAAGGCTTTTTTAAGAAAGTTATGGAAAAGCAGACATTTATTTAAATGGAAGACATGAAGCATCCGTAAGAAACTGAAACGAGCTGTCCAAAACAGGGGCGTAGCCAGTGTTACGCCAAAGGGGAAGCTAAGGGAACAGGGAATGGAATTTCCGTAGCTTCTCCTCGGCCTGGTGGCAGACGCATTTAGACGGGGGGTAGTCGCAATGGAAGGGCTGCACGGCTTGCATCGTGTGCAATCGTATCGCTTCGTGTTAACTCCTTGACGTATTTTTTCACCGAAAATTTGTTTTTCAGGTCTAATAGATATATTAGGAATAGAGTCCTCCACTACTCCTCGTCATCGTGCAGGGTCGTTCACGAAGAAGTAAAATGCGAAATGATAGCGAATTGCATTTCATGTAACGATTCGTGTCGTGTTGAAAATAATCTAGGATTATTATAATAGAGCATTATCAAATGCAGCATTATCTGGCCAGTTCAAAAATCGAAAAAATAATGCTTCTCTTTATAGAGCTGTATTATCCAATAGAGCAGAGAACTATCCGATAATGCAGCTTTATTTCTGAGAAAATGCATTATAAATCCGGTAAATAAAGCAGCATTATCGGATAGTACTCTGTTCAAAAATCCACCCTTAGTGTACAATCCCACTCGCATTTTGTTTCTTCGAATGCGAAACACGTGATATGACGGATGCAGCCCTACTTTGGACACACTTGCCCTACTTTATCAATTAAAGGCCGGTGTGCCTTAGGAGCAAGGTATCACGTGCTAGAAATTCTGGAACTCGACCGTCGAGGAATCTCGGTACGTCCAAAGGTCAGGTCTCCGTCTTACCGATTTCATCAAATTTTGCAAATAGGTGATGGATACTGAGAATGTAGGAAACTCCATCGACATCGTGGTTAGACTTTGCTAGGAATTTACATCTCATTGCTCGCGAGATAACGGATGGAATCGGAGACGCGTGGGGTAGGGGGCATCCCCTATATGCAGGCGTAGAAGTGTCCGTTTCGTCCGTACGGGATCGCCGGTGGGGTCTTCAACCAAGGACCTCGCGTGTGGTCGCAAGCAGTCTGAAACCGTGATGGATGAGGAACGAGTGCGACTCGGCCCCGTCGGATGCGGATGTCTCCGCAACGGTCTTCCCCTCCTCGTCGTCTCCTGCCTGAAACACTAGAAAGGCGACGGTGTTCACTCGCGGCCGTCTTCCTCCTCGCCTTCTGCGAGACCGCGAACGCGCCGCGATCGTTATGGATTTCATTTATGGAGTGCGTGTCGTCGCCGTCGCGATCGTGGCCGTGGAGAAGAGGAAGGACTACCTGTTTCCCGCATCTCTCCCGAAGAACTGGGAAATTTCCACGATCTTCGATCGCATCGTGCATTTAGATCCGTCGCAATTAGATGCTATTAGAACGACAACGATGTTCCGTACGAAAGAAAGCGAGGGTCGTGTGATATTGTGCCTCTAAAACCGAGGAAACTCGACTTCGGGCCGCACGAGAATCGCCAGTGAAGGCTTTAACCGTCTGCATAAGACGAAATCACCCGATATTCTGGAGTGTGGAGAATATACACAGTAAAAATTAAATTTCTGAACAACCTTGTGGCGGAACTCAATGAAAATTAGTCAAATAAAATTCTAAGGTCAGCACTACTTTGTTTTAAAATGTTATTTTGGATCTGGATCTTTGAGACGTACGCCTCCATGAAAGAGTTCATGGAATCCATTTTCAAAGTCGTGGGCAAAATTCCCTTTACTGTATTCGCGACTCTCTCGTTTTAGACGTGCTTGCGACGACGGCATCGGGCGATCGTCTCGCCTCGCAGATTCTTTGCTCGAGTCATTGGCTTTCAATTTCTTCTCGTTCGGAGGTTTTCTGCATATTTTCACGATTCCATTCGTACGCCGCCAGAGCACGAGGAGCAAAGAGGATGCTCTGTGGTCCGAGTGAAAATCGCTATCGCCTTACGTTTTGCCTTCTCCATTTTAACGCGTGACCTTGCACCACTCTCACTCCGTTTCTGCACGTGTAAGAAGCAGGAGGCATCGAGGACATGCCACTGGAGGTCACGACATCTAGTAGTCAAATGCGGGAGCTTTTAGTGCCGTCGTGAAGGTAAGGAGAGTGTCCGAGCTTCGTTAAGGCCCTGTTACATTAGGCGAGAACTCGCCAGCGAGGGCTTAACATTTACTCGCTTCAAACTGCCAGTCATCTATTACAAGAAAGGGGGGGGGGTTGCTTTTTTGAGCATCTGCGTACAGATGTCCATAAATACGAAGCATGCAAGGATGATGGCTGCTCGCAGAAAGTAGTTCTCATCAATCACGGTGGATCTAGTCGACATTATGATGGCACGCCAACTATAAAATGGCATTCAGGAGGCCAATAAAAGTGGAATTGATTCTGTTCAAAAAAAATTCCGAAGAGCCATGAGCCATTCACGAAAAATATTTCATTTATCCGTACCTCTTCCGCCATGAAATGGCCTTAACCAATCTCCTCCAAGTTACACATGGAATCAATGCTCACACACCTGGCAAGGTAACGAATGGATGGAGTGAGCAATTCCTCTGGTGGGATCGGGTCTCTCAGCACCGTTTTCTTCTTTGTTACCTGTGAAGCTACCTTCTTTAAGAGTCTCTGAAGGTTGCTTCGTTCATTCGAAGTAAGCCAGCAACGTGATTGGAGGCAAAAGGCAACAATTTTCTATAGACCCTCTATAAGATAAATTCTATAGGGTCGTATGGAATTCAATCATTTCGTTCAATAGAATTCTACTAAATCACTGTATGGAAATTCTATGGAAATTCCATAGAAATCCTATCAAAAATCTTCTAAAATTTCTATAGAATTCTGCAAAGAAGCTGTGAAGAAATTCTAATGAATTTCAATAGGGTTGTATGAACTTTTTGTGTCACTGTATATAAATCGTACAACATTTATATTGAATTTCATGAACTTCTGTTGAGTCAGTACATACAAAATCTATTGAAACCCTATAAAAATTTCTATGGAAATAAGTATATCCTAATAGTGTTCCCAAAGGAAAAAATAAATAATGAAATGTAACCTTTTTTCTTCGACTCTATAAGGGTCATCCAGAATTTTACAAAATATAAAGTGCCTTTTAGAAGGTTCATATCCGATGAATTTATGGTGAAGTCG